ACGATCTCACTGGACATCGTTCGTCGGGGGAATTTGGCCGTATCGTCATATATTTCTGTCAAGGTTTGCACGTCATTTGGTTACTGAAACTGAGGCGTAGTTATGATTTCTCTTATTCTAACAATGGTTAACTAAGACATGTTATACGTATAGTTTCCACTATGAGGTGACTGTTGTTGTGAACTGGCTCTACACAAATATGACTGAGGTGAAAAGAGATTTGTGATAACTCAGCTACAGGACATTTAGCTTGTATGCAGATTGATGAACATGTGGTTCTGCGACTTGTGTCTTTATTTAGGTAAATGAGGTCACTGCAACAGCTGGAAAGGACTTCCTCACAAACCCATCTGCACTCGTCCAGTTTGATCCAGGTATGTGTTTGATAATAGAGACAGAAGGTCTGTCTGTCTGCAGGGTCAGGCCAAAAGTCCCCGTTTATGGAGCAGAGTTTGAGTCCAGGCAATGAAAGAAGGTCATTAAGTTCAGTGAGGATCTGTGTCAGTGTCTTTCACACTGGAAGTTTGATGATAAGTGGCTGGAGGCAGCATGTGTGGGCTACCTCCGGATATACCGTCTTTCACCCACAGTCTAAAGACGAGCTTGGATCCAGTCACGTGAAAAGAACCAGTTAAACAAACATGAAAAACAAGAAATATAAATACTGAAAACTGAAAACACAGAAGTGGAAGATGAGTCACGCTAATGGTCCAAAGAAAAGGACAAACCTCAGGTCCCTACAGACACACCCTGATGATGACGTTCTTCTAATTGTGTTGTGACTGAATTTCTTATTATTACAGCAACAGCTTAGTGCGACGTGTTAACGGTCCTCCTCAGAGTTTTGAATGAAAGCCTCGTAGAGAAGCGGTTCCCAGTAGTTTCATGTTCCTCTGGCTGCCTGTTTGTTCCCCTTATTAGTTCCACTTGTGCTACAATCAGCTGATTTCAGTTTATGTGCTGGAGGAAGAAAACAGTGACGCAGTTTGTGGATTGTGTTAAAGCATAATGCAGATGTTTCCTCTTTCCTGGATGCACTTTAACATCGTGCGTTCATCCTTTTGAGCAATAAAACAAATAAAATGTCTGTAACAATGTTTCTAAATCCTTCACACAAAACAGTTTAGGAAGCTTAGGAAGTGCAGCTTCTACACTCAGTCCCTGGTTACATTTTCTACTGTGAATGAATGATTAAATGTCTCTGTGTAAACACTGTGATGGACTGCTGACCTGTGCGCGCGCACACACACACAAACACTGTGTGTAGGAGTGTCAAAGCGAAGGTGGCAAACTGAGATTATCCAAGATCACCTCGAGGAGGCTGACGAGACTTTTGAAGTGCTGCTGGTCTCTCCTGAAAGCACCGTCATTGGCAGCACCAACAAAGCTACGCTCACCATCAGAGACTCAGCAGGAGGTAAAAATGATTATTTTGCCACACATGATGGCATTTGAGGATAGACTTATCTTACCCCCGAACTAAAACCACAGGGCAGTGCAGGCTAGACCAGAATCAGGAGGCTCCTGTTCTTGGAGGACAGGAGATTCAGGCCAACACGTACCCTCAGCATGGATCCATACACCTCGAGAAACTTCCTCTTGGGACAGACTCGATCATCTGGACCCGTGGAGACAGCATCTCCAGGCCAGGAGTCCTCAAAAAGAAACTCAGAGGCAATGCAAAGTCAGTAAGTACATCCTGTAAGCTCTGCTGTTTGAATGTATTATATATGAAATCGCTGCAGTTGAATCTTTCTGCAGTGGCGCGTGGGTAAACTGCTGCTCTGGGTTTTTCTTTCAGATTGCACCGTCATCAGTTTTTCACAATGGAACAGACACCGTTTACACAGTAGGTAGCACTCCCCACTCCTACCAATGAGACTTCTGAAAGTTTTCACTTCTATTGCTTCTTCAATTTCAGTATCACGGCATCATCCAAATGCAAGTAGAAGACGACACCTCACCGTCCAGGAAGGGCAGAAAGGCAAACATCCAGGTGGTTAGCAGGGGGGCACAACAGCATCGGTCCCACCCTCACAGAAACATCTTAAAACCTCAGAAAGCTGGCGTGGCGAAGGGACATGTGAGTACCAGCGGGTTTTCTTCCCCCTCGAACTCCATCAGCTCGGCTTTTAGGAACGCTGAATCGTTTTGTTTTGCTTGTATATCTGTTTAAAAGAAAAGGAAAGAATCTGCTCATGCTGCTGCAAATTCACACTTCAATCTCCACCAAGCACTTCAGCTGGAGAACAGCTGCTCACACTCACATGTTGTTACGGCCGCTGGACCTGAAAGCACACACAGAAGTGTAACACAGAGCGAGTCGTTTATTAGGCTGAATACACGAACGCAAAACAAGGCAAAGCAACTTTGAAAACATCCTGAAACTGGACGTAACATGAAGCGAGATGGACAGACGATGTGAAATACACAGGAGGGTAATGAGGGAAGTGGAAACGCTGGGGAAACACAGCTGACACAAACCTGACGCCACACAGGAAGCAAAACTAAACACACTGAACAGGGAAACACAAGACTTTCAAAATAAAAAAGGAAACCTGGAGAGACGACACCACGAGCTTGACAAACATGAAACACGCAGACAGTCTGTCATGAAACACATGACAGACTGGAGAGAAACATGAGAAGAGACAAGGGAGACACAAGCACAAACAGGAAAAGAAAACAAGGAAACATAGAAGAAACAAAATAGATTAAAACTCAACGAACCCCAAACTAAAAATAACACAACAAGGTAACATTATTCCAATGATAAGAAATCAAAAATCCAAAATAAACTCAAAATGCTGGGTCACAGACGCAGACATATATGCTCTATAAAGTCCAGGCAAGCTGCAGCACTGAGTCATGTAGAGCACAGTAGAGTTTACGTTCTTGTCGTTCAGGTGTGTGCACCTTTGGGGTAGCATGATGTGCTAGCAACACGGTGGTAGCTCTGTTGCTAGTGCACATACTGGACCTTCTGTTGCTCCACACACTGTGAAGTATGTTGCATATTATTGTGGAGCAGCACTATAATCTGTGTGAATGTTTGTGGGTCACAGACTACAGCTGGTAACCCCGTGCACAAACCCTGTGTGCCAGGACTTAGAGGCCTCCTTCATTTTCACCAAGCTACCAACGAGCTCTTTCACTGCAACGGTGTCTCCTGGAAAGCCTGGGCACCAACTGATCAGGTACTACAGCTTCACAACACCAACACAAGCCAAGCACATTAACCTGTGACAACACGGGGAAACTGAAAAGCTGCAGATCTAAAATCATCTTTCCTGTTGAATAGATGGTGAGTGCTCAGATGTGTCCTCAGGGCTCCACCTTTCATGGTGGTTATTGCTACACCCTCAGTACTGAACCCAAGCTGACATGGAGTGAAGCAAACAGGGCCTGCAGGGAAAGGTACAGTTGTGTGTTCCCACAAACACTTTGTGCATTACAAACACGATGAGCATGAGGCGCTTCTTTTTCTTCCTAACGGCAGGTTTAGAGGAACACTGGCCAGTGTTGCGTCTCAAGCTGACATGGACTGGCTGTGGGACTTTGGTGGAAGGAAGCCTTTCTGGATCGGTAGGTGTCGTGTTTTTACATGTGTGAGTAAATGTAACGGTGTCAATGGTGCCGGCTCCTCATTCGCTTGTAATGCATTCTAAATAAAAAATCACTCACTGTGTAAAAATGGACTTTCAGTTTAGTTTAATATGTAAAGTTTAAAGTGCACTGGACACAAAGTAACTACAACCTCCACCTCATCTGACTGGAACATTCGTTAAGTTTAACGAAACATTTTTGCATCCAGTGCAAAGAATTCTAATGTGTTTAAAAAATATAATCATAGTATGTAAATAAGTTAGTAAAGTGAATTCAATACCAACAGCGTTGCTAGAACATTATTTTCTAACATCTGGTCCCCAAAGTGAAAGTATTGATTCGTTTTATTGAGGCAGAAGGTTTTGATTTTGCTCCCTGCCTGTTCTCTCCATCCTTACATGGATTCAATCCCGGTACTCCTGCTTTAGTCGTCCAGAGACGGGGTGCTGGTTTAGTTCAGTGGGCTGAGCGATCCACCGTGTGCAGCTGCTCACCCACCGAGCTAAACCCGACGCTGCACATCTGTATGTTGTGTTTGCAGGGAGCCGTATAGCCCAGGGCCAAAGCCCCACACGTTTCTGTCCGTGCATTTTTTATGCAGAATGTAACGAGCTCATCTTCTCTGTTGCGCCAGGTCTGAACGACAGGGAGGGCCGAGGACGCTGGGAGTGGGCCGGAGGCGAGCCGGTCGGCTACACCAACTGGAGAAAAATGCCTCTTCAGCCAAAAAAGAAAGAAAGCAGAAAGTGTGTTCTGGTTTGGAGGAGGGCAAAGTGGCAAATCAGGGAGTGTAAGACGAGCAGAGGTCATCGCTTTGTCTGCTCGGTTAAAATCTGAGTTCAGCACCGTCCAGTCCAGCGCGGTCCGGCAGCAGTGAGCTGTCACTGTGCGTGACAGAAATTCACAACCTGTTTACAATTAACACGTGAAAAGAGAGCTTGGTGTCCAAACACAGTTCATGTTGGACTCATATTTACAGTGCAAGTGTTGCAAGTGTTACAGTGAAGATGTCCTTGGGGCCTTAATCAGCTCCTCAGCCTCTGTTTGAACCACAGTTATTAAACATTCATGCGTTTTGTTCATAAGTATGTAAACGTGGGAAGATGAAGCTGAATCCGTTCATTTATTTTCCTTATTAAAAGACTGAATCATGTAAATGTGCTGATATTGTATTTGTGTGCAATTATAAGTGACAGCCAGCTGCTGCTGCATTATCGACTTTATTAAACACATATTAACAGAGTTAATGTTATTGCACCAATAAAAACAGGCTTTGTTTGTCACGAGCTGCTGCTGCTGTCGTTTTTCTCTTTTCAACATTATCTCTGCTGCTCCGACCCGAGCCAGCGCTGCTGTTATTGTGATTATCCACATCATGTGATCAGCAGGCCGGGCATGAAAGGAGGCCTTTTATACGAGCTGTAAGCAGTTCTCAGAGGCTGGTATGCAGGCTACATCTGATCCTCTTCAGCTCGGTGAGTCCTGATCAAACTGAATATCTGTGCGTGCTGCTTTCACACTAACAGGCTGCTCCATCTACACCAATCAAGGCATTTAGACACATTTTGGTGTTTTTTTTTTAGTGATTTCTGGTTCATCACATGCTGAACAGTGTTGCAACAGACCAACTGAAATCATTGTTTCATGAGCTCCACATTAAATCCATGGTAGCGTTGAAATAAAGTCTGCAGCAGTTTGATGTTTCGGGTCCTGTTGCTGACATCGTTGCTGTACATTTTGTTCCCATATTGTTTACTAGGTTTTTTACTGTTGTTTCCTTTCAAACAGTAAAACGTGCTGTTGGTAGCCTACCATCTGTTTAATCTGCTTCAGTTTGACTTGATTTGTGTCTCCAGCTGTAAAATGTGTCGACTCTTCACACGTTCTGTCTTCATGCTGCGTTGCTGATTGAAGCACAAGCATGTTTTCCTTGAATCCTGCCTTCTGTAACAGCACACACATGTGTGAATATGCTCTTCACACACTGACACGCTGTCTGTACGTTAGCTTTGTGTGAGTGTGTAATTTCCCGACTGTCCTGAGAGTCGATAATGTTCGAGGGAAAAACAACATTTCTTCCAGAAGCATCCAGACTGCTCTGCGTCACTGCTAACCAGCTGTTGCTTTGCTGTTTGATCATCTGACTTCTAATCTTGATCACTGCCAGCTGGAGGAACAGAAGACACTTCACTGCTGGGTCATGGATCATCATGCATCAGGCCAACAAAGCCATGCAGCACATTTCCAGTGGCTTTCCTTTGCGTACCAGAGCCTCACAGAGATCCCTTATGAAACCATCCTGACACAGACAGACAGCCTGCAGGTGCTGGACCTGAGCTACAACCTGCTGGATGAGTATCCTTTTGTAAAGAGCACAGCAGCGTGCCGACCCTTTGCTAAGCTGTGTTTGCTTAAAAATGCTGAATAATATCTGTGTATTGACAATAACGCTAACTGTTTCCAACTCTAACTTTAACCTGACGGCTTCTGTTCTTTAGAAAACATCTTCATATAGATGATGATCCTGCTTTGGTTTTGTAAGTGATGCACATAGTCAATAAAAAGCCATCGAGTGTTGATCCGAGTTTCAGTGTAAGAGGAAACATTGGACGCTGATAAACAGTCTGCGTAGCAATCCGCCCGACAACAGTTCATTCGTATTAATGAAGTTTTTCATGTAATCTCAGTTTGACTGTGGGCAGCAAACACAAGGATGTCAGTTATTATTTACCCACTCCTGGACATGAGGGTCCTGTGGATCGGTGGGATGCTGTGGGGGTGTCAGAGCTTTCTTCACTGACGTACAAGCCTAGTGTCCTTCACTCAGTCCTTATTGGAACCCGGCTCTGCTGGGCCGCCTGGAGAAGCTCAGCACTCTGATCCTGGACTGCAACAACTACACGTCTCATGTCAAGTTCCCCTACATGCCAAGCGTCACCACAGTGTGCATCAACAAGAACAAGATCAACAACCTGCCTGTGTTTGTGGAGGAGATCTGGAGAAAGTTCCCCAACATCAAGTGAGCTTTTTCTCTCTGATGAAGCGTCTGTGCTTGCTGTTACTGCTGCCTCATGTGTTTCTGTTCCTTCTAACCGCAGGATCCTTAGCATGATGAACAACGAGGCAGCACCCAGCTACTTCAATGGAGGCAGTCTGACCCAGTACACAGACTACAGGTGAGCGTGCAGGTTGCTTTCACAGCGAGAGCTTTCTCCTGAATTTACACACAGTGTGCAAACGTCATATTATCAGTATGAGCAGGGATAGCTCAGTAGGTAGAGTGGTGGCCCCATGATCGGAAGGTCGGGGGTTCGACTCCACTGAACGGCTACCCTGAGGTACCCCTGAGCAAGGTACCGTCCCTACACACTGCTCCCCGGGCGCTGCACTGGTGGCTGCCCACTGCTTCACTGGGTGAATGGGTTAAATGCAGAGGAACTATTTCCCTATGGGGACTAACACGCACACTCTCTAAAGAAAGATACATACAAACATGTGCTCCACACAGCATAATGACCTGTGTCCCTCTGTTACCACCGTTACCACATGATGTTTATATAAACACTACGTGCAAAATCTAGTCACGCTGTCTGTTGTGTACAGCGCCCCCATCTGAGTCATCAGTGCAAGAACACAAGGCCAAGACGTCCTGTGTTAGAATAAACATTTTGTTTTCATGGCCACGGTCGGCTGCACGGACACTTTGAACAGACGAGCACAGAACTACAGGAGGTCAGTTTAGCCGTAACACAAGCCTGTGAAATCATTAGCATGCTGTGTGTGCCTGTGTGTGTGCCGTGACACCTGCAGAGGATCAGCTGCTGTGGGCACCTCGCTAACTTCAGCTTTTAGAAACAGCTATGGTTTGAAATATTCCTCTACGGGCCAACATGTGCAGACAGACGGAAGTGCATGAAACACGTCAGCCTTTAAAAACTGTCAATAAAAATAGAAACACATGTTTTCACAGTAAAACAGAAAAACATACAGTTTTAAGATAAACAGTAAACACGTGGTATCAAAGGAAACCAGACGAACGCTGCCTGATGGCTGACCACAGAACAGCTTCCTGCTCCGTGTTAATGATGCCTGAAGAACACAGCAATAACTCTGCATGTTCACATGAACAGCAGAGCCTTCTTTGCATCACAATCTTCAGTCTGCATCTGTCGGCTGTTCCTGTGTCTCACAGTCGTGCATCAGTGTTGGCTGTTGAAATCTTTTCATACTGTGTGCTGTAGATTTTACCTCTTCCATCATGTTGTGCTACTGTTGTCAGTGAACCACAACAGCTGCACACTGCTTGTCCAGCTGTTTCTTCTTACTATCACTTCTCAGCCACCTGCTGCCCTGTTCCAACTGTTGAAAACCAAACAGAGAAAAACAGTAAAATGTAGTTTGAACTGTTCTCTGATGTGTTTATGAGATTTGCAAACCACTGTCTTTGTGTTTATATGTAAGCCCATCTTTGGAATGACTCAAACCAAAACAGTCCGAACATGTAAATGTTTTGTGGACATTACAAAGACATTGTGCCTGTAACAGTGCTCAGCATGTGTATTATAATACCAGTGCTGTTCAAATGGTTTTTATGGGAACACCACTCACTTGTGTGGAGGCATATCTATGATCATCCACACACAGATGTCTAACTGCCTGGTAGGTGTTGGCATGAGTTTCTTGGAGTCATTGTCAGACTGGTGCAGTGGGCCCTGGATACTTCCTGGTGCACAGCAGCACCTGTCATCACGTGTCAAAAGTATGCAGGTAGTTCCTGGAGATTGAAGGAAGTGATCTGACCGGCCACCTGACCTGCATCCAGTGGAACATCTCCCATTTAAGAAACTTTAAACTTGTAAGCTGTGATGATTTAAAAGGTTATGAATCAACACAGTCGGTGTGCTTTTTCTCTACGAGTCTATCCGTGGTGCATTCACCCATCTGGCCCTGTTCTTGCTTTGCCTCTTCAGACTCTATGTGATCAGTCAGCTTCCAGGTCTGGAGATTCTGGATGACACGGAGGTCCTGGAGAAGGAGAGAGCCCAGGCTCGGAAAACCTACCGGCTACAGCAGAGCGGTCACAGCAGCAGAAAACAGAGAAAGGACTCATCCAAGAAGCACACTCGCATTCAGAAAAAGCCCAGCAGCATCATGAAATAAAGCCTGTGTCGCCCGTGTTAATGTTATAATTGTGCGTTCTTTGTCTGCTTGTATTAACATTCATCTAAAGCTGTGGTTTGTGGTCATGTATGGGCATGTATGTCTGCTGGGCTTCATCTGAAAAACAATCAATAATTAACAGGAAGTGCAGCGAGTAGCTCTTAATGCAGAGCACCTGTTTTACTGAATGAATAATAAAGCAGCCAGAGGATTCTTCCTCTTATCGCCTGTAATGTTTCCATCATCAGCTTTCACACAGGTGCTCTCACATGTTCCTGCATCTGCTGACAGAAACGTGTTCCTTTTGTTTTTGAGCAGTGCATCAAAATCACTGTGTGCAATAAAACGCATCATAATTTTAATGACGTGCATTTTTTTTAACAACACTAAATCGACTGTTTGTCTGCTCGGTCACCAGCGTCAAAGCTGCAACAGGCAGGACTCCGAATGACTCCAATCATGATGTTTGTGATTGTGGAGATATCAGAACACTCTCAGATTAATGTTGTTCTGCATACTGATCTCAGTCTCTTTGCATCAGCTACAGGAAGAGGGAGTGAAGTTGTGTCTGCATGTGTTACAGTCGGTATTTTCAGCAGGAGGCACCACTGTCAAACTCACACATCTGGTAGTTTCCCAGAGAAAAGAACGACATCAAACGTTAATTGAATCAACAAACCTTGAACTTTTCTTCGCTGTGTGAAGCACAGCCTGTGTTTCTTTAGAAAATCGAACCATCTGATTGGCTCACCCTGCACTCACACACGCCGGCCTCCTACTGCGAGCTCTGTTTGGTCAGAAACCCGACTCTTCATGTTCGATGCTTTGCAGTGAGACCTTTGTTTCACATGACTTCTCGTTTCTCTGTTCTGTGTTTTGCTCTCTCGGTTCCTTCCTGTGCTTCAGCTGACACCCTCAGTGTGTTTCTGCAGCTCTCAGTATGAGACGTTCTCTCAGTCTCCCAGCATGTGGTCCTGCATGCTTATACTGAAGGAGCCGTGAGCTCTCACATTTGTGTCACAACATGCTAGCAGTTACAGACATGTTATTTGTTACCACGTTTCAAAGATCAAAGTGTTGTTAGAACGTCTCACGTCTGTGTGAAACAGACAGTGCAGGTAACCTGACAGTGCACGCTAGCATTAATGATGCCCACAGACCACATATGATAGCAAGTCAGGAGTGTATGTGATGTGTTAGCTTCCATATCTAGTTCACTTACGTCAGCTGCACAGGCTCGGCTAAGGTTGGGACACTGCGACTAAGCCCTGTGGATACGTCTTCACATATGCGCTGACAGAACCTCTGGACAGATGTGCAGCCCCACTGAGCATGCTATAGTTCTGAGCAGCGTTTGGAACAGGTGCAGATATCTGTGCTCTGTGCGCAATGTTGTATAAGTTGTGGCTTTTAGTCATTTTGAAGGCATTCAGAATCCAATTATTCCTGTATGATCGATTTGTGTTGCTGTCAGAGTTTCCCCTGATACTGATGAACAGAAGCTCACTCAGGAACGAGGTCACACAGAGCTCAGGTTTTCACTCGTGAGGGGAAGCAGTTGATCTCCAAACCACTTCAGCTTGCTTTCCCCCTGCAGGCTGTTTTTATTGGTTACACACATGAACATTCATAAAGCTTGATGCTGTATTACCTATGAGAAATTCCTATAACTGCTTACAAAGTGTGATTGTGCGAGCATGGTTATACAATGTGTGGTTACATGATGGGAGTGCAGCTCTCCCAGATTGTTGTCGGTAGAATCTGTTCGTCTCAAGGCTGCTTGTTGCCCTTATCGAGGTCGTGCACGCAGTCATGTGTGTGGTTACCTAGCAAACAGAAGCACTCTAGCTTTCTACCTACAACACATGCATCAAACCTGACATTCACCTTTGCTGACTCTATCTTTTCATATAAACTTTCCGTCTTGTACAACATGTTCTAGATTTCTTTTGTCTGGATCTAATGCTGATGTGTTTAAAAATATAGACATAAATACTCGTAAAAAGGGGAACTGGGCTGGTTGCTGACTGTGTCATCTTTATATCCTTTATTTCCACGATGTTCTTCTTGCTATCAGTGTCACGTTTGGGCTTCGTCTACACGACATGATTGTTGAACAAACTGTAAAGGTCATATTTGAACCCTTCACTCATTACAACAGGAGGACGTTTTGACATTAAGACCACTTGTCCTGTATTCAGATGACTGTGCTGAGGTTTGAGGTCAGATAGTCACCAAATGTGAAATATGAACCAAATATCTTTAAATGGTAAAAGTTTCCTGTTCTTGTGGAACACAATACTTCACTCTGAGAACGACTTCTCTACACTAGCTTTCTGTTCTCAAGTACATGTTTTTGTTTGTATTTTGTGTAACTTTTGTTAGTCTCTACCTCTGCATTTATCTTTGCACTTGTCTAAATAAGGAGGACACGAGATGAATAAAGATTATTTAAATAAATAATTCAGTGTACAGGAATTCATCAAACTGGTTGCAGGAATGAAGTTTTTCTCACACAGGATGTTGCTGGCTGCCTTTGTGATTAATAGCTGTCTAACTAGCTGGTCAGAGAACTAACTAGCTGGTTAGGATATTGAAAAACTGAGTTGTTATGTTGGTAGTGGACAGGAAGCAGACTTCGTCCTCTGCCCTGAAGATTATTCCCTTTGTTTTTCCCTGTCTTGTCAGACATGCAGTGGTGTAGCATGGTGCCCCTAACAGTGCAGTCCTCATCTGTCCCCAGTGTGACTACAGCAAACCTCAACCACACGACACGGACACACGCACACTCAAGATTTCTGTATCAGCTGCACGAGTCGTAACTGTACCGGAAACTGAGTGAATCCCCTTCAAAATAAGGCTCTTGGAAGATTTCACTTCGATTCCGTTTTATTTAATTTTGTTTGTAACGCCAAATCACAACAGCAGTGACGTCATGTTGCTTCCCATTATAAAGACCAATAACAGGCCGCATTAGAGTGATCTCTCTGCGTTTGTCTGCCTGCTCGGACCCCTGTTCAACACACCGCACTGCTACATCACAACACTCCCGATCAGGTGTCAAACACGAAGCCTGCCTCAGGATCAGATTCAGCAGTAACAAGGACGCGGGCGCATCTTTCCAGAGCAGTTTGTGGTCGTAGTTAAACGTAAATGATGAATTCAGAGACGCACGTCCTGCACTGATAGTGCTGCCAGCTCTGCTCTGCTGCCCTCTGCACCCAGTGCAGCTGCTCAGTTGTTCCTTATAATGAATAATAATGAACCTCGGCTCAAATAATAGTTTCACCTCACACGTCCTGTATTTGGTGCTGCCTTGTGTTGTAGTTAGAGACTGCGCTTTGGCAGTGCGGCGGCGGTTCAAATGGTGGACACAATGACCTCTTAGAAGTGTTACGTCACAGCCTCGGTGTTCCCGTTTGAAAGCGCTGACCGGAAACTCGCTGTGACTGCGCGTAACTTGACGCAGGTGCCTGTCAAAGCGCCGTTCCGCTCGGTGTTTCGCAGAAACGCCGGCTGCCGTCGCCCTCCTCGGGCATCGCGCTCTCCTGCCTCATCGACCCTTTACGCGTGGAACATATGAAGGCGCGCTCTCGGCTCTAAAATGCTATTTTTAAACGTGACCTTGCGTCGAAGGACTGAACGCCGGCTCGTGTCAGTCCTGAAGGATTTCTTCGTGCCCGCAGCGCACTGCAACACACCGGCAGCTGAATGAATAGAAGCCGGGCCGTGGAGACTCGCTGCAGCAAACAGGACAGTGCTGATGAACAACACGGCCTACATGCCACGGAGTCTCCAGGACACCAGCTGTACGGACTCCTTCACTGACGCGCTGTTCCACCTTGTAACACAGTAATAACTGAGCTCCATTTTATTCGCTGCTGCAGAACTAAGCATCACAAGACAGGTGTGTGTGTGTGTGTGTGTGTGTGTGTGTGTGTGTGTGTGTGTGTGTGTGTGTGTGTGTGTGTGTGTGATCCACTATGCAAAAGAAGGAACGACCAACAGGCAGATGGACTTTGCATGCTGGATGTTTCTGCTGACCTTGGAAACCAAAATGAAAAATTAACCAGTGGCCTAAGCTTTTTGGATATTGCATAACTCTTCTTTGCTCTTGGTTCACTCCTGGGCTTTGTAGTAGCTGCTCACTGGATTAGTGTGCAGCTCACGAGGCCTGGAGGTGCACAGAGGGTGCTGAATGGTCTTTTAGAGCTGGGCCCGTCTGTAGATGCCTTATCCACCCAGAAGCAACGGATTGAATCGCAAACCACGATGTGATCAGCAATAAAGTCAACAGCCAAGCAATAAAAGTGAAGAACTTATGCAAACAAAGATCCCAGCGGAGGTTTTTGTCCATCGGCAGCATAAATAAACTCTAACTATGCTTCTGAACTGCGGTCAGCCATTGCCTCTCCTGAGGCATACGGACGTGCCGCCTCGAGTCATAGAAAACTTTATCCTGACGGGCTACCGCTTCCCAAACTACAGCCTGTGGGACTGCTTACTGTCAGCGTTCAGGCCTACCAATGAAACGGGCAATTTCTGGACGCACTTTCTTCCTGTTTTCATCTTTTTCTACTACTTTGTGGAGGTTTTTGGTTGGGAAGGTGCGCCTGATAGCGGTGAGCCTTTCTTCTATCCGCTGTGGAATTACTTTATTGGGGTGTCCTGTTTACTGATGGCCAGCAGCATGGCTCACCTGCTTAACTCAATGTCTCTTGTGGTACGAGAGGTTTGCTTCTTCGTGGATTACGGCACCATCAGTGCGTACACGGTCGGCTCATCGTTGGCATACTACTACTACATCCACCCTCAGGCAGGAATAGCAGAGACAGGGAGCAGCTCCCGGGTGGAGTTGAACCGTGAGGCTGCACCCTCAGCCTATGCAATCCCAGAGTGCAACGTGTTCTTTGAGACCTACTACATCCCGTGTGCATGTGTTGTAGCAATCATCTGTGTTTTATCCTGCTGCAATACTCGGCAGAGGTGGAGGCAGCATCGCTATATCATCCGGACGCTGGTTTTT